AAAAAAAAAAAAACTAAAAAAAAAAACAAAAAAAAATTCAAATAAAATAAAAACGTCAACATAATAATTTACGTTTATGAAGTCGGCTTGAAAACCTTATGCGTGTGTACATATGTGCGTGCGTGCGTGCGTGCGTGTGTGCGTGCTTGCTGCATTATTGACAAAAGTGCATTATTGTTATTTCATTTCAATTACTTCAATTAACAGAAACAAAAACATAACAAAAAATTGATATAAAAAAAAATATAATTTTAAATTTGATTGCTCTACGGCATTGAAGATCAAAGTTGATTTGCTTTGCATATGCGTTTAGCAAAAATTGTTCGATTTTCAAAAAAAAAAAAAAAGAACAAAATTATAATAATAATTGTCAAATAAAATAAAGCAGAGGATACTCTCGTGCATTCTTGTTTAAAATATTCAAGAACACACTTTCACTTAGAGTACCGTATTTGTGAGCTTGATGGCGGTACCTTGTAAGGAAATTTCATGGCATATTGTGATTTGTTTATTAAATCGTTATGATTTTCTCGCTATTCACCTTTGTTCGATTGTCGTTCCGTTTAGATGACCGGCTATATTCGAAATAATGTTAAGATTCTTTACAAAATATTGATCGTTTTGTTAATCTAAATTCTCGAATCATTTCAATCATTCGTTAATTACTTTCACTAGGCCCCAAACATTTAGAACTGCGTTAGACTAACACACAACTTTCCGTCCCCCCTCTCTCATTTTCTCTCACTGTTTCCCTCACTTCCTTTCGCTCTCTCTCTCTCTCTCTCTCTCTCTCTCTCTCTCTCTCTGTCTCTCTCTCTCTCTCATTTTCCCGATACGTTCGATAGACTTAAGATCGATCCTGTCCTATTAGTAAACCAAAATGAATTTAAGAAAGGACATGGCAGCGCTGCTTTTTATTGTAACGGCGAAGAGTGCATATATGGATTAAGCATCCAAATGAATAATTTTTAATCCGCGTTTATTCATTTTGCAAACAGTATCTTCGGGAATTGAAATCGCAATGAGAAGCGTAGTTCTCATTCTCTCTCTATTGTTCTTCTTCTGCTCATTCGAATCTTTTAATTATATTTAAGTTTGTATCTGCTGTAGAAAACGAAAAAGTTTAAAAACATAAAATACTTTAAGGCAATCTCAAAAGAAGTCTTCTTATTTAAAGAGTTTAAACAAAAGAAAGAAAGAAGGAAATATTGAAAAATGCCTCAACGTTCACCATTTGCTATACAAGAACTTTTAGGTTTAACTAATACAAAAGCAGGGGCAGCAGCTGCTGCCGCTGCAGTCATAGCCACACAAAACAAATGTCAATCAGCAATAAATCAAGCACGAAACGATACACGTATTACGGAATTATCACCTTTATTATCATCATCGTCATCCGAAACGATTTTCAACGCGACAGCGTCAACAGCCGCTAACACTGTCAATGGGAAATGCAGTCCGTGTTCGAATGGCTCTTTAACGCCGCCATTACACCGCCAAACATCGCCAGCGGGTAAACATCTAAAAACACCGTCAATTTCAAGATCAACAGCAGTAGGAGGAAAATCATCGTCATCGCCATCGTCTTCAATACAAATATCGACGAGTTTGTATGCGTCTTCATCGCCCAGCTCTACGGCATCGACAACGACTATCTCAAATCCAACCTCACCCAATAACAATGGCAATGAATACCAACAGCAGCAACAACAACAGCAACAACAACATCAAATGTCTATGGCAGCTGCTGCCGCCGCTTCACGTATGGCCTATTTTAATGCCCACGCTGCGGTAGCGGCAGCATTTTTGCCTCACAATTTAACGCATGCACATCATACACAAGCCCCAGCCCATCATACGCACTCTGCTATACAGCAGCAACAACATTATTTACAACAACAGCAACAACAACAACAACAACATGTTGCCGCTGTTCAACCACACGGGCATCATTTGTTACATACGCAAGGTAAACTAAAGAAACTAAACTAACGAAATAATTATTAAGAGATTTAAAAAAATTATATATATAACGATAAAGAGTTTAATCCAAATAGCGGTTAAAAACATTTACTCACGCCTCTAATCGCATCGCATTTCTAACGCCATATAACCCAACGCCCAAAAACGTATCGATGTTTTTTTTTTCACGTACTAGACTTTAAATTATGTGATTAATGTTTTCTTTTCGTTTTTTTTTTTTTTTTTTTTTTTTTTTTTTTTTTTTTTGCTATTTGCTCTGACTGAAATGTGATCCAGAGGATCGCTTCATAGAGAGCTTAAGTAACTGCTTAATGGATTTTTACGCCCGCGATATGTTCGATTTATTACCACATTCGTGCATTCATTTATTCATATAACACATTTCTTATATCAGCCTTTGTTGCTTTTATTCCCTTATTCTAAAGCAGAGAATTCGTTATTTGCCTTATGTTTAGTTTAGCACATCACACCGACTATCGATTTTCTTTATCCCGATCCCTTAACAAGTTAGCAAAGCAATAAACTTTATTGGGAAAAAGAAAAAAAAAAAAAAAAAAAATCGCACTTGATTTTTAAGTGCTTAGACTTAATTGTTGTGCTTTACTTTAGAAGGTGTGAACTCACTTTTGCTTTATGAAAAGAAAACAAAAAAAAAAAATGAAATAATGAAAAGTTATAAAAAAAAAAAAAAAAAAAATACTCTAGAATTTGCTACGCAATCCAAAATCTAAAGCCGTACATACGTACGTCCATGCAAATTGAATTAATGCGTTTGTACAAAAAAACAAAAAAAAAAAAGAAGTCAATTAAATACAACTCATTGCAAAATATTTTAAGTGGCTCTTTAAAGGGTTAATTTATGCATTAAATAAAATCCTATAGTAACAATAAAGAGAAGTAGGTGTTAAAAGTGTAAAAACATCATAAAAAAAAAAAATAAATAAAAAAAAAAATAAAAAAAACAACAAAATTGGTTTTATAAATTATTTATGAAATTTTTCATTTTTTTATGTCAATTAATTGCGTTTTTTATTTGAGAAATAAAATTAAAATAAAAATTAAATTATCCTTACCATGAAATACATGTTTTTTTTTTTTTTATTAGCTTTTCTTTTCTTTTTCAATTTAATTTTCATTTCTCTCCCTCTCCCTCTCTCTCTGTCTCTCGCTTTCTATCTCTCTCTTTCTATCTCTATAGCATTAGCGGGCGGTTGCATGTTTTCTTTTTTCTCTAATATTCAAAAATATTTGTTATGATATATAATAGAACGATTTCTTCCTTTTTGACAAGGAAAGCCATTACTCGCTTTATCACTTTATCGCGTCATCCCTTCGTCTATGTGAAGCCAGCAATTTTGGCCTTCCAGCATTTATGGTCTGTTCCAACCAACACCAAAAAATTTGACTTGAAGTTAAAGGCGTCACTTGACCAATTCTTTGCTAACAGTGAGGATCTGCTCTTCCCGAACAGATGTTCAATCGTTGTAATGTTAATTAAACCTTAACGTAAGGTAATAGCATTGAAATATGCTAAATAAAAGCCACGTCTTTTTTGCATCTTTCCTCCACTCTTCCTCCATCAAATATTTGTATTCCCCCCCCTCCCTCCCCCCTCTCTGCTCTCTTCTCGGCTTAAGTTTACAAATTCATCTAAATCGATAAAAAAAATATTAAAACCTTCCTGTTCATGCTTGGCTGTATTTTTACAGGCGTGTTGCGCGACTCGTTTGATATGTTACAGGAGATGGTTTTTTCTTTTCGTAGCATCAGAGAGCAAAGTGCTTTCTATACTCTTTCCTATGCTCTGTTTTGCACTGTGTCGTGTTCGTTTACGCAAAGCTTCACGGAGGGATGGAGAAGATTGCGGCTTGATCACTATCCATAAACCCAAGTGAATGCTCTTCCTCTCACACGGATTTCTATTCTCTTCGATTGTCGGCGAGCGTATATTGTCCAAATATGCAAAATGCACTTTCCGCTCTTCATCCCGTTATTTTCGACACTCAAAGGTTCGTTCATGCATTTAAAGGTACGTACGCACCGCGCAGAAACAACAATGATCGCCTATTAATTTGGTTCATATGGAAAATGGTGCAGCGGTCCTGGCATCTCTCCACCAAACAGAGTTGTTTACTCGTCACTTAACAATTAGGAACATACCTGAATCTCTTTCTTCAAATCTATTGCGATATGCTGGGCATATCGGTGCAGCACCAAAATAGACTGAGTTACTTGGACACCTCTTATATATAATAATAGCTTGAGTGAATGTCGCCAAATGAAGGGAAGGAGGTATACTTTAGTACGATTGATGTTATCGGCAGCGGCCATTATCGTTGTCTAGACAGCAACTTTTTTATATCTGATATTTTTTCATAGATATATCGCGCTCTAAATGATCGCGTACAGGCAGATATTTTATCGGTCCATATTTTACTATACTTAACTCTTGCATTAACAGCTTTTAAGTTCTCCTTTGTAAGGTGCGAGTGCTTGCATGACAATAGTGCCTCCTATCTAATAATCTCGGCCTGAACGTACTCTATATTCTGGACTCGGTCTGTAAGAGACTAACGCCTACATTACATAGAGATTATAGATCTTTTTCAAATTCTTAAAGTTTCAAAAATATTATAGATAGCCCTTAAGTATTTACTTTATGAATCAATAAGACTTTGGATTTTCCATCCAAGTTACTTCGTCCATGAATGCAGGGACAAGCTACAAAAAAAATTATGCTGTAGACAGGTAAATGCAATATGTAACATATAGAGGGACAGACATGTTTTTTGAAGTGATTTTAAAAAGCATATCCGATGCCAGCCAATACTGGCTGAAATGACTCGAATTAATTCGAAAAGGGTAACAAAGTGAATTGCGGGGCAAATATGCGTTATAATCGATTCAGAATCATTTTCTAAACCGATTGATATGACAAAAAGTCGCGTCTGTCTAGCGCCAAGTTATTCGAAATGTTGTCTGAGTAAATCAAGGCCAACTTTGTAACAAGAAATTCGACAATTTTTGTATTTTTTTTTTGTCATTTCTTCGCGGGTCATAAAAAAAATTCTAACTGATCGGCTCTTCAATAAGAAAGACTCAAGCAAACAAGTCAAGGGTTGTGCTGAAAAACAATGAATTTATTCGATGCGAATTTTTACACGCCCCCTCGTATGCTCGCGTATAGTTTAAGGATCAATTGTTTCCTGCTAATGATGTTTCTTTGTTGTTTATCTTTTTCCTGTTTTTGTTTTTTTTGCTTTTTTATTTTTTGATTTTTCTGCAAGACGTCGATTGATATCACCTTTTGATATATCTTTCACTTTTGTCTTTGGTTAATTAATTATTTTGATCTGAATGTGAAATGAATGATTTTTTGAAAAATCTCTTCTTTTTTTGTTTTTTATTGAAAGCATTTTCATGTTGCATACATATACCGAAACTAGCGAAAATTCAGGCAAAAAGAGAATGAATGCGAATAAAGCCCTCATCAGCTATTGTTCTGAATTAATCAGTTTTTAATTATTTCATCACTTTGAGTGTTTAATGAAATTAAAATAAAAATTTTTTGGAATAATACGATCTCTGTAAGTCTGTTTAGTTTTATTTATTGTGTCAAGTAAAATATCAAATTACCTCGAAATTTAGGTTCAGTATAAATATGTTTTAGATTCAAGCTGTCATCGTTGCCCTTCCAAAGAGCTTTAAAATGAAACGACAACAAAAAAACAACAAATAACAAGCAACAACAACAAGCAACAACAACAAAATAACAGGCTAATAAATATTTAAATGAATTTACACTGGCGAGCGAAACAAATGCAGTTATTTTATTTATATATATATATATATATATATATGTACGATTTATATTAATTTTGCAAAACTAATTACTATGAAAACGTACACATCTATCGATTGAATTTGGCGCGAGTGCATACATGTGTGTATCTGTGTGTTCGTGTGTTTATCGCATTTCGCTTCTTCTTTTTCTTTGTTTTTTTTTTTTTTTTTCTTATATTTATATTTCAAAAATATTTGCATAATTGTTTCGGCGAATACTGAGACACACACTCGCTCGAACGTGTGATGGTTTAATTGTTTTATGACAATCGATGCTAAAAAATGCTTTTATGTGGGTATAAGCATGCAACTGTTCTACATTTGCAACCCTTTCCATTCACAAAATTATGTTAAAACAGAAGTCTGTCTCTCCTTTTTTTTTTGCTTATTTTTTTATTTATTTTATTTTATTTTTTTTGGTTTTTTTTTTTTTTTTTTTTTTAATAAAAAATTGGAGTTTTTTTTGTATATTTATGACTGTGCGTATGCGTGTGCGTGTGCTTGGATTCATTTCTGCATAGTGCAGCAGCAGCAGTAGCAGCATCATCATCATCATCATCATCATCATCAGTACATAACGACGACAATCAACGCCTTAAAAAAACAATGACAGGAACCCGAGGAAATTAGCGCGCTTGTCTGTCAAATTTAATTTTACTTTGATATGTCACTTGTGTATGGTGGGTACACGAGTACTTATATAACAAGAATTTTTCTTTTCATTTTATTTGATTTTATTTTATTTTCATACTCACCACCCTAATTGAAGGGAATATACTAACTGTGGCATTCAATTTGTGCCGTTAACGGCATCACTTGATCGCGTTGCTAGCATGGTTCGCGCGTTCACGCTTAAATTCCGCAAAACGATATCGAAAGAACGACAAACGCGAAATACTTATCATGTATTCTTGAAAACTTGGATAATTTCCGGAAGAAATCTCGCTTACGTTCAGCTTAGGCCTAACACATGCAAGTTGTACCATTATTTTGTTCTACTCGAAAATCGCTCAACACGTTAATTATTTAAGACGCAATGCTACAGGCTATAGAGTATCGAAAGTTCGTTATAAAGGCATAGATAGCTTTCTTATTGTTTCGTATTATTATTATTTTTTATTTTTTTTTCCCACTTACCGTAGG